TGGGCTTTCTTGTTGTTTTGTTGATGGTTTCTTTTGCTGTGCAGAAGCTTTTTATTTTGATGTAGTCCCATTTGTTTATTTTCTCCTTAGTCTCTCTTGCCCTAGGATCTGTGTCTGTAAAGATATTGCTACGACATATATCTGCAATTTTGCTGTCTATGGAGTCTTGTAGGGTTTTTATGGTTTCCCGTCTTACATTCAAGTCCTTTAGCCATTTTGAGTTTGTTTATGTGTATGGTGTAAGTTGGTGATCTAGTTTCATTTTTTTGCATGTATCTGACCAAATTTCCCAGCACCATTTATTAAAGAGGCTGTTTTTACTCCATTGTATGCTCTTGCCTCCTTTGTCAAATATTAATTGAGTATAATGGCTTGGGTCAGTTTCTGGATCCTCTATTGACCAGCAGTTCTCAACCTGTGGGTCGCGAACAATGAAAATACATCCTGCATATCAGATATTTACATTACGATTCATAACAGTAGAAAAATTACAGTTATGAAGTAGCAACGAAAATAATTTTATGGTTGGGAGTCACCACAACATGGGAACTGTATTAAAGGGTCGCGGCATTAGGAAGGTTGAGAACAACTCTAATTAGAAAAGAGGATCAGAGTGATTATTTCCATCCAATATGACTAGAACCATGGCAGAGATAAGCACAGGATAGCACTGGGCCCCAGGGTAGGTAGGGTACCTCGCACAGACAGGAAAAGGTAATTAGAAATACTCTCCTAGAGTACATGCCCTTGACCAGAATCGAACCTGGGACCCTTCAGTCCACAGGCCGACGCTCTATCCACTGAGCCAAACCAGTCAGGGCTCTTTAGAAGGAAGATAAAACCACCTCAAAAAGAATGATGTATATAATGGATTAATTTCCAGAGCATTCACAGATGCCATTTATGTTGCAAGTCTTCCTTCCTGAATTGTTTTCAATTTTCAATTGAGGGGTTATTTTAAAGCAAATAGATGAACCTGGGGAAAGGGAGAAAGAGAGCGAGGAGAGAGTGTGGGAAAGAGAAGCTTTGTAATGACTTCCATGTGAGGACAGCCTGGGACCCCTTTTCTTCAACCTCATCTCCTTCCATCCTTTCTTTCACTTTATGGTTGGAACACATCATAATTCCCCAACTTGTACACTATTTCAAGCCTCTGGGGTCTTACTTGGACTACTCTGTGTCCATGTAGAGTTCTTTTTCCCTCCTTTTGGTACGGATTCAAAACTCTCTGCCTTTCTCCTTTCCTTCTTCTAGAGAAAAAGAAGAGAGGAGAAGAGCCCTGTATCTTCCTTCTAAAGAGCCCTGACTGGTTTGGCTCAGTGGATAGAATGTTGATTCAGTGGATAGAGCATTGGCCTGTGGACTGAAGGGTCCCAGGTTTGATTCTGGTCATATGGCATGGAGAAGGGAGAGGAGGAGAAGGGAGAGGAGGAGAAGGGAGAGGAGAATCCTGTGTTCTTAACTAAGATGTCAGTCTGCTTCCCATAATTCTATGTTCTAAATATATATTTTTTAAATCTGGTTCAGAGAAAAAAAAGACTACAAATAGATGACTAGGTAAGTAGCTTTTCTTATTTCATCAAATCATAAGGGCTCTGGGCAACTTTTAAGAGAGTGATTTTTTTTTTTTTAAGTCAAACAAGCCCTGACCTCAGCGAACGTACCTCAATCAGATTGAGGACATTTTTAGCAAAGGCCAGCTTAGGAGTACCCTAATTAAGTTAATAACAATGTACCTACCTATATAGTTTAAGTTTAAAAAATTTGGCTCTTTCTGTGGTTGTTTGAACTTCCTTAGCCCCTCCATGGGACTGGTTGTTCAGTAATGGTTGCAGAACCAGCCCAGTCATTTTCAGAGTAAATATGATAATGACCATGACTCTGGGAAGCAACTGGGGGGAGTGAATGAGAAAGATGGCCATATAGGCTGATGCTAAAAGTCTCTATAAAAGTCTCATACAGTTATCTTATTTCCAGCTCTATTTAATGCCACAGTAAATAAATTGGGGTTGACAACTCTAATCTCTTATTAGAAATGGTTTACATTGCAGTTGCTTCCTCTATATGTCTTCTCTTTTTTTTAAATATATTTTTATTGATTTTTTACAGAGAGGAAGGGAGAGAGATAGAGAGTTAGAAACATCGATCTCCTCTATATGTCTTCTCTTAATATTCAATTTTAAACTTACTTCTCCTGGAAAAAATGTCATTGTGTTTGTGTGTGTGTGTGTGTGTGTGTGTGTATTTATGTCATTGTGTTTGTGTGTGTGTATTTATATGAACAAATATAAAGTTGGAAAAAAAGGATTTAAAGGTCTTAGAAATTTTGGGCTCTCCTTTGTCTGTCTCCAGGCCTTCTGTCCTCCCTAACAGAAAGCTCTCTTAGAGAACTGAGGGGCTCCCTTCCTCTCCCACACATTCTTTCTCTCTCCGTGTCAGTTTTTATTTAATGCTAAACAAGTGGAAAGGAAGAAAAAGTAGGAAGAGAAAACCATTTGTTCCCAATTAACTATGCTTATCTGAAGGGCAGAGAGGGTTTCTCCAACAGAACTGTCTTTCCCACAGCATGCTCTGTGTGCCCCTGCACCACCAGGACATACCAGTGTAGTAAGCCTTGCCATTACTTTGGCTATATCCAAACAAGTGAGGAAACAAAAGCTACGTGGTGGCTACCATTCCCAGGGTCGACACATTGAGTGCCTACCTCTGTAGATCTAGATCTCACCCAAGGAAGTTTGGTCTGTGTGCTCTGGGGTCCTCTTACCCTATGTGTCCCACTGTCTCTTGTCCATTCTCAACGAAGGCAGCCTTGAGCAAATCTAATTGCTGAACTGATCAGATCTGAGAGTCTAAGCATTGACCAAATACTCCTAAGAACACTCCAGGACAGAAATGAGACTTAATGTTTGTCGTGAATAGCTCTATGTCCTCTTTAGATGAATGGAGTATTTCTAAATGTCAGTAGAAACTGGCTAAGACAGAATGACCTAGGAAACATGTAACACTACAGATTTCTAGGTGATATTGTCCAAGATTTTGTGTTAGTATGTTTGATAGGCAGCCAAGTTTGCTAGGTTTGGAAACTCCAGTCCTACACTCTGGACAGAGCCCTGTGCTCATTTGATACAGTCTTTTGGCCAGTGAACTTGGGTGCAGTTTGATTTTCAAAGACAGGAATTAGGACACTTTATCATATCTTGATGGAAGGAAACCAGCAGTCCCAGTAGTAGTCTCTTGAGTTACTCCCACAAAATAATCTATTGAGGCTTATCTTCCAGATATACTAAGATAAAAAAATAGTTGTAGAAAGGAATCATAGGCATAAGGCCATCAGATACACCAATGTGCACACATATGTACACACACTCTCATTGCCTTGCCTCTAGGAGCCAAGGACAAAGGTGGCCACCCTCTTAGCCAGAGCTGCACAAATGATTGCTCAGGCTGTATGCTGCACATTTCCAGGCGCCATTTTCACGCACTGCAATGTGAATGGTCTCCCAGAAGTTGTGCAATGCAGTGGTCCTTGGAGAAAATTAGAAATTATTTTGAAAACCTGAAGGAGCCCCTACTAGAAAGCAAATGCAACATTTGGGGTAAAAGGTCAACAGGATAAGTTCTTGCTATACAGCTGGCTCTCAAGCTCTGCTCTCAGCACATGCACACACACAGGTATATACTCTGCTTTCTGCACTTCCCTTTCCTTTAATCCAGGGTGATTTCCAAGAGCTTCCCTTCCACACCTCCCAGGTGGATTGGGAAGGGCCACAACAAATTAGAGGTGGAGAGTACGTTCATGGTGAGTGATTTCCCAACTTCTAGGCTCCTCCAGCATTTTGGAACTGTTTAATGCCAATCTTGATGGTCTTTATCTCCAGAACCCTTTTCCTGAAACCCAGTCGCATGCAATAAAGCACATTTATTTCATGCAACACAGCTTAGTCGATGCTTCTAATTACAAATACCCCAGTTTACTGGGCACAGCTCAGTGGGGAGTGCCTGGTATGAAGGAACATGCATAGCGCAGCAACAGGGAGTGCTTGCCACCAAACACAGAGAAGTAAAGGAGATGCAAAGCTACAGTAGCTAGAGTAGGACTAGCTTTCCTGATTTCAGTTCACGAAAAGCCTCTTGCCTCCATAGTTCACTAGTTTGGCATGGCATTTGCCCTTCTCTGTGAGTTGATGTTGTTATGTTCAATAGAAGTCAGGTTAATTCCCAGGCTTGTCTGGGATTAGGAGCTGGCATCTTCCCTCAATTGTAGTTCTTCTCTCAAAACCAGTGTTAGGCTTTTGCATTTGTTTTCCTAAGTAATTGGATAATCCCGAAATGTGAATCTCCTCCAAGCTCTTCCACTTTGCAAACTCCAGAAGCAATTAACCAATACATTAAGATCCGTGGGAGAACTGTGAGGTAAGGCTTCAGACATGCAAAGCGCGCAGCCCTGGGAAAACAGCAGCACCTGGGACAGGAGGCTCCCATCACTTCACATGAAGATGGTATGGGTTTTGCAAATCAAACACACACAGAAAACCAGCGATGGCCCAGGTTGGACACACTGTATGCAGTGCACAGTTGAGTGACGACCCAGACCAGGGAGCCACCTGTTCCTCTAGCTTGCACACATGTAGCTCACACCACCTCAGGCCACTCACAGTTTGCTTACCTGCTCATTGTTGCTCTCCCACCATTCCCCATACTCCCTTTGGGGGTGAAACACTCTATTTCCGACTTGTGCTGGGCCAATCTCCTGTCTTTGTACCTGGTATGCATGAACAAGGACAGGAGCAAACAGAGAGATGTGATTGTATGCTTAACTGGCCAGGCTGAGGAAGAGCTGTGGCTGCAGAGGGTTGCCCCACGCCAAAACAGGGCCTCCTGCTTTTCACTTCAATGGCTGCCCCGTGATACTTAATAGATGATTGTGATGGTATATGCATAAGACTGGAGACCATTCTGTTATTTCTTAGTTAAAGCACATGTGATCTACCCTTATACATTATTTATTAATCCGTGAGTTTATCAGATGTAAAAGCAATACAATCCCTAGCATCAAGAAAAAGATGAAAATAAGTACGTTAGTGTTTATTTGGTGTTTACCATGGGCTAGACATGTAGAATGTTACTTACATTTAAGTAACATTATTTAAGTTGAATTCTGGCAACAACCCTGTGGCAAAGGCCCTGTTGTTATTACTAGTATATCGATTTTTTTCTGAAGAAGAAACCTAAGATTGTAAGGATTAAATAAATTGATCAAGGATTTTGAACACAAGCGGTCTAAGTTTTGAACCCACATTTTTAGCGATTATAATGTGTTGCCTTCAATTATCAGTCTTTTAAAAAATGTATTCTTGTCATTAAAAAAACCTTCATTAAGTGGTACTATGCCTGAACATTATGTACAGGAATGGGCAAAAGTAGGTTAAATTACCAGCCATCATTACCTAAAAGATAAGCCATAAGTAAGGATACGAAATAATATTAATAATAATAAGGAGAAGACAAATAATACAAATAAATAATACAATTATGAATAAAATAATAATGAGAATAAACTCTGTTTCATGTACTCACAACTGTAAAACTACTTTTTGCGCCCCCCTCCCCCCATATTAGAGACTGGCGATGCCAAAAAAGAAAAGAAATTCCTTTGATGTGAAAGGTTTCTATGACCATTAGGCTGAAGTTTGAGAGTCAATATTGAGTTGCTTAATTGTGCAGGGTGGCTCAGACAGCTTTTGCATCAGAATTGGCAATTCCCCAGACCTGGAAGGTACCCGATGTTTTATCTAAAATAAGCTATGTGATTTTAACATCAGTGTGCTCCATGGTTCATCAAAATGAGCCTTAAGTAAGGATACGAAATAATATTAATAATAATAAGGAGAAGACAAATAATACAAATAAATAATACAATTATGAATAAAATAAAATATGAGAATAAACTCTGTTTCATGTTCTCACAACTGTAGACCTACTTTTTGCCCCCCCCCCCATATTAGAGACTGGTAATGCCAAAAAAGAAAAGAAATTCCTTTGATGTGAGAGGTTTCTATGACCATTAGGCTGAAGTTTGAGAGTCAATATTGAGTTGCTTAATTGTGCAGGGTGGCTCAGACAGCTTTTGCATCAGGATTGGCAATTCCCCAGACCTGGAAGGTACCAGATGTTTTATCTAAAATAAGCTATGTGATTTCAACATCAGTGTGCTCCATGGTTCATCAAAATGAGCCTTTATATTTAAATGACAGTTTTCAAAGCCAACATGCTTCACAGAATAATCTGTTTTACTTATCATTTAAGCCTGTGGGGTAAAGAGGCACTGTTGTACCCAGTTGCCTAACGAGGTAACTGAGACTTATTTAACTGACTGACAACATCACAAGCCTTGTCAGTAGAAAATAACTGCCAGTAGAGATTGCAGGGCCCCACAACTCTTAAAGTTTATCTTTATTACCTTTTTTTACTTGTAAAGTTGGAGCCTGAGATGATGTTGCTTCATCCATTTTTGGTATTCAATAGTCAGAAATAAAGTTACTATCAGAAGACTTGTTTGCCTTGGTATGGTCACTTTTTTAAAAAGTTTCTTTTCCTGCTGTCTCAAAATTAGTATTAAATAAAACAAAACAATTAAAATCATTATTAGTCCTGGGATTGAGGCCTTCCTCTTAATTTTTTCCTCTTCAAAGATGTTCAAAGTATCTAATTTTTGAGTGAAAATGGCTCATTAATCAAGTCGAATGGATGGAATAAATTACCTTATTCAGTAGACATGAATTAAGCACCTATTACATTCTAGGCAATGGGCTTTGTCCTGGGCATATAGAGATTAATAATCCATGGGTCCCACCTCATAGAGCTCACACATTAGTGCGAGAAAGAAGGGAAGCAGACAGTATATACACAAGTAACTTTAGATCTAGGCCTTAAAGAAGAGAGGGAAACACTTAAAGACTTGGTTAGAGGAGGTAAAGCATTGGACCAAACCACATGAGTAGCCTTTATTTTACCAAAGAAAATACCTCAGAAGAGAATCCCTTGTGAAGCACCAATCATTGAATGGCATTCCACATGTCAACAGAAAATATTTTGTGCTTGTTTATGAATTGGGTTGCACAACCAGAATACTTCTCTATAGCATAAATTAAAAGAATATTAATAGAATAGAACTATTGATGGTCACTCAAAGGGGTCTTTAAACTATGGGGATAATACTCTAACCAACTGAGCTACCCAGCCAGGGCACTATCCTCAATATTTTTTTGGGGGGGGGGATAAAAAGTTGATTTATTGGTGGGTGTAAGGTGGGGACAGCACCAAGACTCTCAGGAGTGCAGGGCCAGCCATTTGTCCAGGGGGCCACGGTTAGGAATGTATTTGACCCCACAGCCATCGGCCACCGTGTCTTCAGACTCATCCACATTAAACTTAGTAAAGCCCCACTTCTTGGAGATGTGGATCTTCTGGCGGCCAGGGAACTTGAACTTGGCTCTGCATAGGGCCTCAATTACATGCTTCTTATTCTGCAGCTTGGTGCAGATGGATATGATGACTTGGCCAATGTGGACTCTGGCCTCTGTGCCTGGGGCTTTCCAAAGGCACCCCGCATACCTGTCTGGAGCCTGTCAGCCCCAGCACAGGCTCCAGACAGGTACTGTTGATGCGGATGACGTGGAAGGGGTAGAGCCGCACTCACATGTGAAAGCCATCTTTGCCACAGCTTTTCACCATGGACTTGGCACAAATATAGGCAGCCTCCAGGGCTTCGGAGGAGAGCTGCTCCTATTCATCTGACACCATGTGGCCACAGAGTGGGAACTCGTCCGCTTTCGCCTTCTTCTGCCCCAGGTCAAAGATGCGGATCTTGGCGTCAGGGACACCTTGGCAGAAGCGAGACTTTGGGTACGGCTTGTTCTTGCAATATCGGTAACCCCGGGCTGGGCGGCAACCCATAGCGACACAAGGATCTTCAGTGGCACCAGGATCTTCAGTGGCCGAAGGGAAAGAGGATCCTCAATTCTTAACACTACCCTACATAGTGGGTGCTTTTATCCTCATTCCAAAGAGACAGGCATTGAGGATCAGTGTCAATCGCCCAATCTCACATCGCATGGGAAACCTAAGATTAGAAATTGGACCTCTCTGATTCCAGAGCTCCTCCTATTTCCATTAAACTTCTCTCTAAGTAACAATGTCAGTAACTTTAGAAACAAAACTATGAAGGCTTGTTATTTACCTTTTATCTCCTTGGCCCCATTTGCAAATGAATGGTACAGTTAACAAGACAGCCAGTGGAGAATCTAGTATGAGACTTTAAATTTTGTTTCTTCATTTAGGTTCCTATAGATGTACTATATATATTTAGTTTGTATCATTGAAATCATTTACTTAATACTCCATGTGCAAGGCACTGTGATAAGGGCTCATGGGTAACTCTATGCCATTGATAAGCTCACAATCAAGAGTAGGAGGATGAAATGAAAACATATCATTTCCAAACAATGTGAGAAGTTTTATTATAGGAGCATGCAAAAATATCTACCTAACCCATAGTAGAATGGCAAAAAAAAAAAAAATGTTAGTGAGATATGATGCCTAAGATAAATCTTGAAAGATGAGGGGGAACAGGGTGAAAAGATGAGTAGGCAAGCAGAAAAAAATCAAGAGCAACCACATGGAGAGGCTTAGCAACATGGGGCATATAGGGAAACAGTGTTTAGTATTTTTATGGTAATCAAGCATATAATAAGTCAAAGTAAAATGGGCTGGAGAGGCATATAAAACATATAGCTCATGGATGAATTTATCCTGGAGATTAAGAGCTTCCACTGTGATATTTTAAGCTAAGAAAAAAATATGGTCGGAATTGACATTTAGATAAAGTAGTATGGACTCAAGGGAACAAAACTACAAATAGCCTCATACTACTACCATAGTCCATGTGAGAGATGATTAATGACTTAGAGTAGTGATGGATGAAAAGTAGGGTACAGTTTCAAAAATATGTGGTAGGTAAAATGAGTAGGATCTATTAGATGATAAGTGTAAGAGAGATGTGTGGAATGCTACTCTAGTTACTGCCTTGAGTGGTATACTACCTAAGTTAAGAAAATACAGAAGGAATATATTTGGGGTAGAAAGAAGAAGCTTAATTTTGGAATATTGAGTTTGAGGTTCTGGTGGGATATCCAAGTGGACATATTCAGTAGACACATGGCTATAGGAATCTGGATGTTAGTGGCTATTATACACTGGGGAGACATCAGCTTACAGATGGTTGCAAATACCATGAGAATGCTCAGTGTTCACAGAGAGTATGCAGAATATAGAGTCAGACTTGCTCACCCTACCTGTTCAAAAACTTTTATAAGACTGTTAATGTAAGCATTTTCTCAAAACATTTACTGAGTATCTACCAAAAGCCAGATACTGAATTCAGGGTTTTTGAATCTGCTATTTTTTTTACAGCCTCCAAATGTCTAGATTTGTGCTCCATATAGTGTTGACACTTTGGTTTCTGCGCCATAACCTTGGCATGAAGAACTGTCATAAAAGTTTTAATAAATTTAAGAATGATTTGTTCTGAAATTAGCTTTAGCTACCTTCCTTGAAGATTTTTTTGTTGTTGTTCCTTTCATACCTCCTTTATCCAGGAAATCCTAGTTCATTTTTGTCCATTCTACAGGAGCCCATGTTCATCTGGTGAATTTAAAAGATGTGGGGGTAAGAATCAGGATTGGATTGAAAATGTAATTTCTC